AGATAAATAGGTACCACTTCGGTGGGAAGGGAACAGCGTTCCGTGCGCCTCGGTGTTTAGTCATGCCGGCCACATGACCACGGAAACGTCTTTGGACAGCGCTGGCTCTTCGGCTTGGAAATGGAGATGAGCACCGCAACCCTAGAGTCGGATTCGACTGGCTTTCGAGCAAGGGAACCTTTACCTTTACCTTTTTAACCCGGGAGAGGGACTTCTCAGTCTTGGCCCCCAAGCTCTGGAACTCCCTCCCCTGGGAGATCCATCTATCCCCTTCTCTTGCCATCTTCTGCCAGTGAGTGAAGACTTTTTTGGTCATCTTTTGCATTCCCTCAGTGGTCCCTCCCTCCTAACAGATGTTTTAATTCCTCCTTTTTTATGTTTTGTATGTATTTTAGTTCTGTTGTTAAATTGTTTGAATGATATGTGTTTGGGGGGGGCAGGTTGATTCTAATGGTTTTAAAATGTGGTTTTATCGCGGCGGTTTTCAATTGTTGGAGCTGCGGTGGCTCAAGGGGTTAAGACGCTGAACTGCGGGCTGTGGAAGGTCAGTAGTTCAGCAGTTCGAGACCCGAGTGTGCCGCATGACGGAGTGAGCTCCCATCTCTAGTTCCAGTTCCTGCCAACCTAGCAGTTCGAAAGCAAGAAATTGCAAGTAGATAAATAGGTACCACTTCGGTGGGGAGGTAACAGCGTTCCGTGCGCCTTGGTGTTTACTCATGCCGGCCACATGACCACGGAAACGTCTTCGGACAACGCTGGCTCTTCGGCTTTGAAACGGAGATGAGCACTGCAACCCTAGAGTCGGATTCGACTGGCTTTCGAGCAAGGGAACCTTTACCTTTACCTTTTTTCAATTGTTAACTGCCTTGCTGGCGGGATACAATTTTTGTAAATAAATAACAGCCGCGTTCGATTTCATTGGATTCCTCAAACGTGGGATTTGATGTAAGGTGCTGATGAACTGGACAGCCTGCGCGATCTCTTGTCTTTTTCCTGATACTAGTTTTTAGTCCCGGATTCAATCCCCGGCATCTCTGGGAAAAGGATCTCAAGTGTCGGGAAAAGATCCCCTTCTGCCTGAGACCTTGGAGAGCCTTGCCCGTCTGAATAATAATAAGACCCAGTAGGGGGTGATTTGGTAAAAGGCATATTTGTACATTTCTAGGAGCTGATTCTCTGTTCTTCATTAAAATAGCTAGATTCTTGCCCAGTAGCACCTTAGAGAGCCAGTTTGGTGTAGTGGATAGGAGGGCGGACTCTAATCAGGGAGAACTGGGTTTGATTCCTCACTCGTCCACATGCAGCCCGCTGGGTGACCTTGGGTCAGTCACAGTTCTCTCGGAGCTCTCTCAGCCCAGTCAGACACAAGTCCTCTACTTGCACCTGGCTGGATGACCTTGGGCAAGCCGTAGTTCTGATAAGAGCTGTTCTTGAAAAAAGATCTGTTTCTGTCATAGCTCTCTCAGCCCCACCCACCTCACAGGGGGTCTGTTGTGGGGAGGGGAAGGGAAGGAGTTTGTAAGCCGCTCTGAGGCTCTGAGTGAAGGGTGGGTTATAAATCCAATCTCTTCTTCTTTGAGACTGACAAGATTTTCGGGGGACGAGCTTTTGAGAGTCAACGCTCGCTTCATCAGATACTTTGAGCGTTGACTCTCGAAAGTTCATACCACGAAAATCGAAGGCGCTACTGTTCTCAACTCCAGCTGTTCTGCTGCAGGCCGACACAGCTGTACCCCCTGAAACTGTTCTTCATTACGTCACCTTCCTCTCCCCTGGTAAGACTGTTTGTTCTTTCTGTCAACAGCGGTGGCCAAAAATCTTCTTCAATGTGACTCAAAGTTTTGGAGGCGGCATCTTTGCCCATGGCCGTTTGGAGAGGGGGGGTGGAAGAACACCGCAAAAAACCTTAATTCATTCTAATGAGCTCTCTTAATGAAGCGAGCGAGTCACCGTTTTTAATGGGCTGTAATTACCTTGGGGAAGGTGCCCGAGGAACTCTGGAGCGATAGCTGCTGGGATTCTTGTGTGAAGGTCAGAGCCTTTGTCGGCTTTTCTCTGACACGAGGGTTCCATCGGGAGAGGGGCTGCGGTTCCTTAGTAGAGCATCAGCTTGGCACACAGGAGGTCCCAGGTTCACTCCCCAGCATCTCTGGTAAAGGAACAGGTCACAGGTGATAAGAAAAACCTGTACCTGAAACCCTGGAGAGCCGCTTGTATCAAAGTCAATACAGACTTTGATGAACCCAGGGGCTGATTCAGTATAAGACAGCTTTGTGTGTGTTCATGCATGTTAGCCAGGACCGACCCTGATTAGTTTCTGAGAACTGATGAGATCGGGTCATGCAGGTCAGGGCGACTGCCTCTTGTTCGTGAGAGCATCAGCTTGGCACACAGGAGGTCCCAGGTTCACTCCCCAGCATCTCCGGTAAAAAAACAGGTCACAGGTGATAAGGAAAACCTGTGCCTGAAACCCTGGAGAGCCGCTCGTATCAAAGTCAATACAGACTTTGATGAACCCAGGATCTGATTCAGTATAAGACAGCTTTGTGTGTGTTCATGCATGTTAGCCAAGACCGACCCTGATTAGCTTCTGAGAACTGATGAGATCGGGTCATCCAGGACAGGGCGATTGCCTCTTGTTCGTGGGGTTCCTGCAGGGCTATTTTTGGGCAGGAAGGCACAGGAACGGCGTTCCGGCTGGCTCCCGAGTTGGCCACACCCAGCAGGAACCCATTAGCATAATAGGCCACGCCCAACAGCAGAAACTCATTGGTGTGACCTTGGGTCAGTCACAAGCTCTGGCACAGCTGTCCTTGAAAAAGAGCAGTTTGTGTCAGAGTTCTCTCAGCCCCACCCACCTCACAGGGTGTCTGTTGTGGGGAGGGGAAGGGAAAGGAGTTTGTAAGCCGCTCTGAAACACCTTTGGGTAGTGAAGGGCAGGGTATAAATCCAATCTCTTCTTCTTCTCTTCTAATAGGCTAATGAGTTTCTGCTGTTGGGTGTGGTCTATTATGCTAATGAGTTCCGGCTGGGCTTTTTCTACAAAAAGGCCCTGGGTACCTGTAATGTGCAGTGTGCCCCGATAGCACATGTTTTTCTTCCTCATAGATAACCTTGGAAACCAAATGATGTGTTGCTTACATTTGCACAATGCATTGGATGCGTGCTCTTCTGAGGTTCAGCCCTTGACAGATCACATGACAGAGTGTGCTAAGGTAGAGGTAAAGCACGCTGGAACCTGATGGGACAGCATTTGGTCGTCAGGAGGAAAGCCTGGCTATAATGTAGTGAGTCAACTGGGCAACATTGGTTAGCCAGACCCTACCCATCAGGGTTGTTGTACGGATAAAATGGGGGGGCAATATTCCATTGTGAGCTCCTTGAACCATAAGAAGGGCCCTGCTGGATCAGACCAGTGAGGGTCCATCTAGTCCAGCATCCTGTCTCACACAGTAGCCACCCAGTTCCTCTGGAAGGCCAGTAAGAGAGCGTAGAGGCCAAGGCCTTCATAAGAACACCAGAAGAGCCCTGCTGGATCAGACCAGTGAGGGTCCATCTAGTCCAGCATCCTGTCTCACACAGGGGCCAACCAGTTCCTCTGGAAGGCCAATAACAGGGCATAGGGGCCCAGGCCTTCATAAGAACATAAGAGGAATCCTGCTGGATTAGATCAGTGGTCCATCTAGTCCAGCACCGTCTCACACAGTGGCCAACCATTTCCTCTGGAGGGCCAACAACAGGTCGTAGAGGCCCAGGCCTTCATAAGAACATAAGAGGAATCCTGCTGGATTAGATCAGTGGTCCATCTAGTCCAGCACCGTCTCACACAGTGGCCAACCATTTCCTCTGGAGGGCCAACAACAGGTCGTAGAGGCCAAGGCCTTCATAAGAACATAAGAGGAGTCCTGCTGGATTAGACCAGTGGTCCATCTAGTCCAGCATCCTGTCTCACACAGTGGCCAACCATTTCCTCTGGAGGGCCAACAACAGGGCATAGAAGCCAAGGTCATCCAGCCAGGTGCAATTGGAGGAGTGGGGAATCAAACCCGGTTCTCCCAGATTAGAGTCCGCACACTTAACCACTACACTGGAAATCCTTCTGTGGATGTTCTTGGGGATCCAGTTTTGGTGCACTGGTGGTGCGTTCTGACCCTTCTTAAGCATCAGCATTCAATTATTTTATTTTATTTTGCTAAATTTCCTCTCCTCCTTTCCAGGTAGCCTGCCCAGGCGACTTCCAAAATAAAGCATAATAAAGACGCAGAACCTTGTAAGAGTTATTCAGATTGTAGCGGAAGGCTGGCGAGGAGGGGAACTTAAGTTCTCGTGGCCCTTTCTTACATGCCCAGGGAAATGCTGATCACCACTTTGGGGTCAGGAAGCAAATTTTCTCCAGGCCAGTTTTGGCCAGGGATCTTGGAGGTTTTTTTGTTTTACCATCTTCTGGGCATGGAACAGGGGTCACTGTGTGTGTGTGTGTGGTATTTCCATTTCTATTTCATTTATTAGCTTCATTGACCCGAGGTCTTAAGCCAAACTAGGGCTGCCAAGTCGGGCTGGGGGGCGGGGAAACCCACGCTTTGGAGGCCCGATTTCCACCGCGGCAGAATCGGGCCCCGTGGGGAACCCCGCCCCCGGCGTGCAGGGGGTTGGACTAGATGACCCTGGGGGTCCCTTCCAACCTTACGATTCTGTGAGTCAGTCTCTTGGGTATGCCAGGTCCAAGCAGTTCAAGGGACACATGAAGTTGCCATTTACTAAATCAGACCCTTGGTCCATCAAGGTCGGCATTGCCTACTCGGACTGGCAGCAGGGGCTCTTTATGGTCCCACGCAGAGGTCTTTCCCGTCACCTCCTGCCCCTGGTCCTTTAGAACTGGAGATGGTGGGCATTGAACCTGGGACCTTCTGCGTGCCGAGCAGACGCTCTGCCCCTGAGCCCGAGGGGTTGTGTTTTCTTCTGGCTCTCCCTCACCTCTTTCTCTTTCTCCCTCCCGACAGCTGATAGTCGAAAAGACGGCTGACTTCCCTACCGCCGAATACTCGCTGGTGGAGGATGTAGCCCTCCACTTCACGTGTTTGATGGACAGGCTGAACAAGCAGCGACTGTTTCAACCAGACCTGTGTGACGTTGACGTGGTCCTGGTGCCCCAGAAGAGCATCTTCCCGGCCCACAAGGGGGTTCTCGCCGCCTACAGCCAGTTCTTCCACTCCCTCTTCACCCAGAACAAGCAGCTCCAACGGGTGGAGCTCTCCCTGGAGTCCTTGACCTCCCAAGGCCTCCTGCAGATCCTGAACTTCATCTACACCTCCAAGCTGCTGGTCAACGCCTGCAACGTGCGGGACGTCCTGAGCGCGGCCACCGTCCTGCAAATGAACAACATCGCGTCCTCGTGCCAGGAGCTGATCAACACCAGGTCGCTCAGCCTGGCGGTGGCCGGCAACATGGCGTTGCCTCCTCCGGATAACTGCGCCAAAGGCCTCCCGTCTCAGTATTACTGCGACATCAAGCAAGAAATGGATTCCCCGCACCCAAAGATCTATGCCCGGGAGGGGAACGACCCGTATTCCTTGCGCGTGGAGGACCGGGCGGCCTGCGAGGGCAACCAGCATGTCCCGTCGGTCGCCGCCAAGAAATATTACAAGGAGGAGAAAGAGGGCAGCCTGCCGCTCTGTAAGATGGAGGGGAACGAGTCCGAGGTGGGTCTGGGCAACCCGGGTTCATACAGCCGCGGCGAGCAGATCATCGTGGAAGTCAACCTCAACAACCAAACCCTCAATGTCTCCAAGGGGGTGGAGGGAAAGCCTTCCGCTGTCAACCAATCGGCTGCCCTCGCCGCCGTGATTGGACGGCCCAAAGGGGATGGGCACCCCGCGGAGGAGCACAGAGAGGAGGAGAATGGGGAAGGGGAGGAAGAAGAGGAGGAGGAGGCTGAAGTCGGGGAGGAAGAAGAGGAGGAGCACAGCGAAGAGGAGGACCTGGAGGAGACCTCCGAGGAGGAGGAAGAGGAGGAGGACGATGGCGAGGAGCTGGCCGATATCAAAAGGGAGAAGTCCGGGCTGTCCCACCGACCCAGCAGGGCTTCCAAGGCCGTGAAGCCTGCCGTGTCTACGGGAACCCAAGAGGCTGCCGAGGTCACTGTGGCCATGGAAGAGGAGGAGGAGGGGGAGGAGGAGGAGGAGGAAGAAGACAGGGAGGAGGAAGAGGAGGACCAGAGAGGGAGGAAGAGGAAGAAGGACCCAGACGGACCCGGCCAGAAGGTCAAGCTCGAGGAGAAGCAGCACTACCCGTGCAAGAAGTGCCCCCGGGTTTTCAACAACCGCTGGTACCTGGAGAAGCACATGAACGTCACGCACAGCCGCATGCAGATCTGCGACAAGTGCGGCAAGCGGTTCCTGCTGGAGAGCGAGCTGCTGCTGCACCACCAGACGGACTGCGAGAAGAACATCCAGGTGAGCCCTCCCCGGGGGTGTGTGGGTGGGTGTGGGTGCGGTTTTGCGCTCTGTGTTCCGAGGAAGGGAGTTCACCAACATGGCTACCACTTACCCCATCGCTTGTTTGAGAACTTCTGCCTACAGGGGACCGTGCAGGTGGGGGTCATTGCAGCAGTGGCTTCCCTACCGTGGAAGTAGCCGTGTCCTAGGGCAGGGCTCCCCAGCGTGGCTCCCGTGGGCGCCATGGCACTTACCGGGGGTCATTTCGTAGAAAAAGAGGCGCAGGAGCTCATTAGCATAACGCATTAGCATAACTCGTTTGCATGTGCCACACCCCCTGACATCGCCGGAAGTGTGTCAGAAGGCAACACCCACCGCCCAGGCTCCACTGGCCTGTTTTGGATTGCTAGCTATTGAGGGTGGGGTGGGGGAACGTCCAGATCTGTCTTCGCAGAGGAGGGAGAGCTTGTACCTGAATAAAATTTGGTCTTAAAGGTGCCACTGGACTGTCTTGGATCGGGGGGGCTCTGCAACTTACCTGGATGCTTCTTGCTCTGACTGAGGGCTGCTGGGAGCAGGGGGTGGGGCTTGTTGCATGTGGCCGCCCCCTGGGCTCTTTACTGCCGGAGCTCCGCTCCTGTGCGCTCCTGCAGGAAATGACCCCTGGCGCTTACCAACACCTTTCCTGGCACCCGCCAAGTGTTTCTAGAAAGTGGGTGGGGCTAGGCAGGGCTTTTGCCCAACAAGGTTTCTGATTGGCCATTGGAGAATTGATTGGCTGTGCATATTTTTACTGTGTGACCGAGGGGAAGCTGTGGCAGCCTTCTTATGGCTGGCTTCGTCTCCTGTGGCAGCCATTTTGTGGCTGGCTCCACCTCCTTCAGCAGACATTTTATGGCCAGCTCTGCCTCCTGCGGCAGCCATTTTGTGGCTGGCTCCGACTTCTGTGGCAGCCATTGTGTGGCCGGCTCCGCCTCCTGTGGCAGACTTTTAAGGGCTGGCTCCGCCTCCTGCGGCAGCCATTTTGGGGCTGGCTCTGCCTTCTGCGGCAGCCATTGTCTGGCCAGCTCCACCTCCTGTGGCAGACTTTTAAGGGCTGGCTCCGCCTCCTGCAGCAGCCATTTTCTGGCTGTGCCCACCACCCTGTATTAGAATTCCAAAGGCGCCTGCAGGCTCAGAACGTTTGGGCACTCCTGTCCTAAGCTCATCCCAGTGGAGTTCCGGATCCTCAGTGGATCCACGGGGCTTACCGTGCTGCTCCAATGGACCAGATAGTCCCCGTGGGTTCTGTTTTCAGAAGGGACGCCCGTTTTCTGCTATGACACTTACAACCACCTTCCTCAATCCCATTGTGTCCCAAAACACACATTTGAAATAATCCCCCTTTATGCACAAGTACACACACGTAGAGGGGTAATGAGCCCTTGGGCAATTCAAGAAAATTTTCCTCTGAAAGCTTGTTGGCGCTCTCGGTGTCAGGCCTTGAAGGAACTTACTCTCAAGCACAGTCTCTTGGCAGCAGTGTCCCCTCTAAGCTGAGTAAGTGTGAGCTAGCTCACAGTTTTTTAGCTGCCGGCTCACGGATTTTTGTCTTAGCTCAGGAAGGGATGGCTCCAGAGCAAACTAATTTACACAGCAGCCAAATCGCTCGCTCACAGCTTTAATGCCGGTAGCTCACAAAGTAGAATTTTTGCTCACAGCTTAGAGCAGGGGTGTCAAACATGCGGCCCGGGGGCTGGATCAGGCCCCCGGAGGGCTTCTATAAGGCCCACAGTGGAACTGGCTGTCTTCTGCTTCTTCTTCCAGTTCTGCTGCTGCTGCGTCATCGTAGTTTGCAGCTTACAGATACACACCTGAACAGCATACTCAAGATTGCAACAGCACAGACATTTTGATGCAATAATTCAGAGGAAGAGGTGTCAGTTAGCAGGGGTCATTTCCTGCAGGAGCGCACAGGAGCGGAGCTCCGGCAGTAAAGAGCCCAGGGGGCGGGCACATACAACAAGCTCCACCCCCTGCTCCCAGCAGCCCTCAGTCAGGGCAAGAAGCAGCCAGGTAAGTTGCAGAGCCCCCCTGGCTCCCCGGTCCAAAACAGTCCAGTGGCACCTTTAAGACCCAGTTTTATTCAGGTACAAGCTCTCCCTCCTCTGCGAGGACAGATCTGCATGTTCCCCCCCACCCCCCAATAGCTAGCAATCCAAAACAGTCCAGTGGAGCCTGAGCGGTGGGTGCTGCCTTCTTATACACTTCTTGTGATGTCAGGGGGTGTGGCATATGCAAATAAGTTATGCTAATGAGTTATGCTAATAAGCTCCTGCACCTCTTTTTCTACAAAATGACCCCTGGTATCAGACACTGTTAAATAAACAAAACATTGCAAGAGTGCTAATGTTTTAAGCATCTTTTTTTAAAAAAGTAAAATAAAAAAAACACCCTTTGTGCTTTTGTCCTTTATAAAGTTCATATCTCCGCTACCTGGCATTACCTTTTATGACACACCCGGCCCGGCCCGACAAAGTCTCATTTATGTCAGTTCCGGCCCTCGTAACAAATAAGTTCGACACCCCTGTCCTAGAGATTTGGGAGTGAAGTCTTACGGAGGGCAGGGTTTGGTGCTCTGGGTTGGGAAATACCTGGAGATTTGGGGGAGGAGCCTGAGTAGGGCAGGGTTGAGGAGCAGGAGGAGTTCAGTGGGGTATAATGCATAGAGTCAACCTTCCTAAGTGGCCATTTTCTCCAGGAGAACTGATCTCTGTCACCTGGAGGCAGGCCCGTAGCTATGGTGGTGTTTTTTTGGGGGGGGGCTGTGCCCCCTTTCTGAAAGGCACGGCCCCACAAGAATTTCTCCCGTAAATGAGCTAAACGGCTTTTCTTTTTGCACTGAGAACTTCAGCCCTACCCGGGGGCGGGGGGGGGGTTTGCCCCGCAAGCCACAAACTCCTGGCTTCTCTTGTGATTCCAGGAGATATCCAGGCCTTGCCTGGGGGTTGGTAACCCTATCCAGGAGCGAGTAAGGGACAGCAGGAGTGGAGAATTGGGAGAGACCGCTCTGGTCGCTAGCCGGCCGTGGCTTGGAAGCCAAAGCTTCTAGTTCTGTGACACAGAAGCGAGGTAGCCTATATCTTGCTGCGGTTGATGTAACTCATGCAGAATTGCGTATATTAATATCTTTTTTCTGACCCAGAAAAATCTGTTGGTTGGTTTCTTCCCAGCCAGAGGGAGAGAGGCAGTGGCGGAAAGCTCCCCCTGCTGGCCACCTGCTGTCACTACAGGAATCCTTGGGTTGCCACCAGGCACCAGCTCTTGGTTGGGGGATTCCTGGAGATCATCAAAGTATCTTTTTTTTTGGTTGTTCTTCTAAACAAATTAATCGAATGAGTTAATTAACTGGAGAGCCAGTTTGGTGTAGTGGCTAAGATGGTAAGCCACTCTGAGAGCCAGCTCATCTTGGCTGTGCCGAAGGTCATGGGAGTCCTTGTTCCTGATATTATGACTTAGTCAGGGAACCTCTAAAGCAGGGTTGTCGAACTCATTTGTAATGAGGGCCGTATCTAACATAAATGAGACCTTGTTGGGCCGGGCCATGTGTGTCATAAAATGTAATGCCAGGTAGCGGAGACATCAACTTTATAAAAATCACAAACACCAAGCAGGTAGCGGCGATATAAACTTTATAAAGGTCGCAAACACCAAGGGCATTTTTTAAAACTTAAAATAAAAACATACTTAAAACATGAGCATTCTTGCAATGTTTTGTTTATTTATCCGTGTCCGATCACTGACACCTCTTGCTCTGAATTATTGCCTCAAAATGTCTGTGCTCTTGCAATCTTGAGTCTGCTGTTCAGGTGTGTATCTGTAAGCTGCAAACCTACAAGGATGCAGCAGCAACAGCAGCAGAACTGGAAGAAGAAGCAGAAGACAGCCAGTTCCACTGTGGGCCTGATCTCACCCCTGGGCCGCATGTTTGACACCCCTGCTCTAAAGCCCAGCGCGATGCTGGAGACGATAGCCCAGCAGGCTTTGGTGACAACTGAAGCCCTCGAGAATTGGTGCGCCTCTGTTCCCTATTTCCTCCATCTTCTCTGATGCTCTTTCCATGTTCCTCACATGCTCAAAGTGGCAGGATGGTGCGCAGGTAGCATGGTGCTTAGAGTGCTAGGCTTGGATAAAGGAGACCCCACTCTGCCACGAATCACGCTTAACCTCTCTCGCAGGGCTGTTTTGAGGATAAAATTAGGACAGACCCACATATGACGTGCTGAGCTCCTTGCAGAAAGGGTGGGATAAAACACACGAGATGAATATCAGCAGGAGTCATTTCATAGAAAAAGGGGTGCAGGAGCTCATTAGCATAACTCATTAGCACAACTCATTAGCATAACTAATTTGCATATGCCACACCCCCTGACAACACCGGAAGTGTGTCAGAAGGCAACACCCACCGCTCAGGCTCCACTGGACTATTTTGGATTGCTAGCTATTGGGGGGAGAGAACGTGCAGATCTGTCCTTGCAGAGGAGGGAGAGCTTGTACCTGAATAAAACTTGGTCTTAAAGGTGCCACTGGACTGTTTTGGATTGCTAGGGGGAGCGCTGCAACTTCCCTGGCTGCTTCTTGCTGTGACTGAGGACTGCTGGGAGCAGGGGGTGGGGCTTGTTGCAAGTGCCCGCCCCCTGGGCTCTTTACTGCCGGGGGCGGGGGAGCTCTGCAACTTCCCTGGCTGCTTCTTGCTGTGACTGAGGACTGCTGGGAGCAGGGGGTGGGGCTTGTTGCATGTGCCCGCCCCCTGGGCTCTTTACTGCCGGAGCTCCGCTCCTGTGCGCTCCTGCAGGAAATGACCCCTGAATATCAGCACCATAAAAAACTAGACCTCTACACTACAGGTCGCGTGTCTACAGTGTGATTGCCATGGGGACTCACAGCCGTATGCTAGACATCAGTTCGCCGTGGGGACTCAATTCGGAAGCAACGCAAAGGCCCAAGTTGGCTCAGAAAAATGGTGCAGGGCAGGAGGATTCCTTGCCTTCCCACCCATGACATTTTCCCAGCCCAAAATGGCCCAGGTGTGTCATTTGCCCTGTTGGGAAACTGCACCTGCACTGAATGCTGGCATGTGCAATTCCCTGACAGGGCAAATACTATCCTTAAGTGCTGTTTCAGCTCAGGAAAATGGCACAGTTGGGAAGGTGTCCCTCCTTGCAGTTCTGCAGTTCTGATGCAAACTGGGTCCCCGCGGATCTTCTGAACTGAGTTCCCACAGGGAACTTGCAGATGGTACCCAGCTGCAAGTCTCCATGGCGATCACATTGTAAATGTGAAATGCCGTTGGGCCCCATACACGCTGGTAGGTGGTGCGTTATTATAGAAAGGTGTTATGGATGTTTTTCTAGCATTGGGATCTTTCTAAGGTCTTGCACCCCGACCCTGTGAGTATATTCTGCCAGTCTTGAATTTGCATATGCATTAGGGTTGCCAAGTGGAAATTTCTTCTTACCGGGGGACTCCCAGTCCGTGGGAGGTGATGTGACGACGCTGGGCACGCTGGGGGCGGGGCCACAACCATTCGAGGGAAAACCATAGAGTCACATCCGGGTGATGCGCACGTCGGGGTTGGGTTCCCCCTGGGGCCCGATCCACCGGCGGCGGGGAACGGGCCTCTGAAGCGGGGGTTTCCCCGCCCCCCGGGGGGACTTGGGAAGCCTAGTATGCATTCTGAGATCCCGTTGTTTTTGCAATACTAAGATTTTTATGAACTCCAACAAAAAGGGGAGGGGCTGTGGCTTAGTGGTAGACCCTTTGCTTGGCACACAGAAGGTCCCAGGTTCATTCCCCAGCATCCCCAGTTACAAAGGACCAGGCAGGAGATGATGCGAAAGACCTCTGCCTGAGACGCTAGAGAGCCACTGCCAGTCTGAGTAGACAATACTGACCTTGGGGGACCGATGGTCTGATCAGTATAAAGCGGCTTCATGTGAGGGTCTGTGGCTCAGTGGCTGAGGATCTGTTTTGCATGCAGGTTCGAGTCTCAGCATCTCCAGTTAAAAGGCCCAGGCAGTAGGGTATGTGAAAGACCTCAGTCTGAGACCCCAGGGAGCAGCTGCCAGTCTGAGTGGACAATACTGACATTGATGGACCGAGGGTCTGATTCATGTTTGGTGTCGGGGTTAGGAGCGCCAGTCTGGTGTCGTGGTTAGGAGCACAGACTCTAACCTGGGAGAACCGGGTTTGATTCCCCACTCCTCCACATGCAGCTGCTGGTGCGACCTTGGGCCAGTCACAAGTTCTCTCAGAGCTGTTCTCTCAAGAGCAGTCCTCGAAAGAGCTCTCTCAGCCCCGCCCACCTCACAGGGTGTCTCTTGCGGGGAGGGGAAGGGAAAGGCGATGGC